TTTTTTTTTTTTTTTTAGCAGTTTCTGTGGCTCCTTGCCTCTTTGGCCCCTGGCACATGTTCATTTAATGGTGAGATGGGCTCTTCTCTCAGATCCCTACCATATATGCATGGCAGGAGGCATGGTTATTAGGCTCAGAGATCAGATTCTAGTCCATGTTATTACTTCTTGCCAGTTCATGGAAAGCCTGGGATCATAATCCTGGGGTTTCCCCACACCATCCACCATCCTGTTGAAAGAGTGTTTCACGGTTCCAGCTGAGCTGACAGTCAGCTGACTGTGAATGCCTGCACCTGGCAGCTGGTGGGGGGAGATTCAGAAGTTCCCATGGGACCCTGTGCCTAGCAGCCCAACCAGAGTTGCCAGGTGTGGGGTTTAAGGTCTCTGGCAAGGAAGCTACCTTACTAGTGTTCTTTAAAGCTCATGGCTCCCCAGCTGCCCATGCCCCACATTATGAAGCAGTTTCTTCAGCTGTGGAGTGGAGCTCCCCATTGTCACTTCCATGGGTGCCCGCTTTATTTATTTTTTTTAAATAAAGCAGGTGTGCAGCTGGGGCTCCCATGCCTGCTTTTTTTTTAAAGGTTCCAGGTACAGTGAGCATGACATTGGGGAGATGCTTCTTGATATCAGACTGACAGTGCCAGCTATCTGCCTCAGTGGATCAGATGGGGGTGCCAGTGCCAGGTCCAGGATGCAGTGCTGCCCCCAGCCCAATCCCAGTGATCAGGCAGAGGATGGTTGTGTCCCAGACCCTTGGTCTGCTCCATACTATTACTGTTGCAATTTCATAGCCTTACCCCATTGCATATATAAAATTGGGAGCAGTTCTAGTGGAGTCTGTGGGCATGTCTACACGAGACGAGTCGGCTTGAGTAAAGCGTCTACGTCTACATGTACAGTGCTATCAGGCTGCAGGAAACTAACTCTGCTGTAGGATAGTATTGCCCAACACCCAAGTACTATTCTACAGTGGTGTAATTAGAGGTGGCAAAACACACTTGTAGACAATGATGGGGCTGGCTAGGGCACAAAGGTGCTTCAGTGTGGAGGCTGCCTGTCAGCTAGCCCTGCACTGTAGCACCCTCGTGCCCCAGCCAGCCTTCCAGAGCACACTGAGGCAATTCGGAGCAGCTCCGGGCTGGCAGGCTGAACCCTGGGGGCCCCCTGCCAGCCAGGGCTGCTTCGACCTGGCTCAGCATGCTATGGTCCTGGGCGCACCTGCAAATGCTGCGCCCGGGAGCAGTAAGCTCCAGCAGAAGCTGCACCAGAGTTTATTGCATCACTGTGACAGGTCCACACCACAGGGGTGGCCATGACACCCTCCCAGTGGCTATGCGGCCCCTGCCTGGCTCAGGGGCCTAAGGTGATTAAACCTCCCTTAATCGCTCACCTGCCAGGCCACCTTCTCGTTTAAAGATTAGATAAATAAGGTTGCCCACAGGCCTTAGAGTAGGCCACGGTTGGTACAAATCTAAACTGGCTCCCTGTGGGATTCGCACTTGAGACAAGTCGGCCCTCGGGCCCAACAGACCTTCTCAGCCTGCCCATGCCTCTGCAGGCCGTCTGTAGTCTTTAGGGCTAATTGCGTGGCACCCTTGCACCCCTACAGCACATCCCAAGCCTCACAGATGTTATCATTCAATTATGTCCTCTGATGCTCCATCTACTTAGCCCTTTCTCCGGCTCCTCAGTACTTTCAACCCTTCTGTCTGGGCTCTTGGACCCCTGGTCACCTGCACAGCCCACCTCTGGGCTCCGGTACCCTCAGGTCACGCATGCAGCTCTTGGGCTCTCTGATCTCATCTCGGGCCATCTGAACCCCTGGTCCCTATCTGGGTTTTCAGACCCTGGTCCCACATTTAGCCCCCTGTCTCTGGGC